TTAGTGGCTGCTTTCTCATGCTGGAGCCCTTACAATGTGATCACCTCAGAATGTAATAGGGATTGGAGCCTGTCTGAGCCTGTCTGTCTCTGCCCATGGCCCCTAGTTTCTTCTTGTCATTGCTTTAGTTACTGTGTAAGGCCCTTCTCTTTTCCTCCTGCTGACAGCAGACATTGAGTAACCTCTAGTTGTCACTGAGATGCATATTTCACAGTATAGTACTTTAGAAATGAGAAAGGTTTACTTATTGTGGAAACAAATGTAGGCTCCTGGGAGTGTTAGTGTCACTCGGTAATGTTTTTCCCAGGGCTGCCATGGTAACTGACGTTGCCTGCTTACTCCCTAAGGTTTGAGAAGAATTCTTCCTTGGATCTCAGGTGATAGTGGTACATTCCTTCATTCATTTATTCATTTAGTAAATATTTTCTGAGCACCATGTATGTGCCAGGTACTTTTCATATGGACAGTGAACAAAACAGACAAAATTCCTGCCCTAGTGAACTGTATATTCTGATTTAATTGGCTTGGGGTTAGGCCTGGCCATTGGTAGTTTTTAAAATCTCTCCAGATGATTCTAATGTACAGCTAGGTTTGAGAATCACAGTTATAAATGAAGCACTTTGGGAATTGCAAAGGCATTGCAGAAATAAAAAGTGGCTATTGGTATTCCTTCACTATTCCTGCATTTTCCTGCCTGCATCAGGACTGTTGTACAAGTGCTGATCATTTTCTTTTCAGCCCTTTTCGCTGTTTGCCTAGACCCTTTATCCCTCTTTCTAACCTATCACCCTACCTCCTTCCTGTCTTTCAACCTCCAGTCCATCATCTGTTTGGGATTTATCCTAAACTTGGTGGGAAGGCATTGCAGGGTATAAACAGAGAAGTGGTGTTAGCAGAGATGCCTTTTTCAGACACCATACTGGCTATTGTAAGAGAATGGATAGGAGGGGGCAGGAGTAGATTTGGGGAGACTCATTAGGAGACTGGCTTTGTGCACAGTGGTGGCCTTGCAGATGGAGTAAAGCAGGCAGGTTAGAGTCATATTTGGAAGGTTAGTGATGGCTTGGAGGTGAATAGGAGATAGTGATGAATTGGATGTGGGGAATGTGGGTTAAGGATGTGTAATTGGGTAAATGGAGGTGCTACTTACTGAAATGGGAAAATTTTTCTCCCCACATATTGACCTGATAAACACCTTCTCATCCTCTAGACCTTGAATCAGAGATTCTTTCTTGTTTTCTTTTATTATATTTTATTTTATTTCATTTTTATTTGGGCTGTGACGCCAGCTTGCAGGATCTTAGTTCCCCAACCAGGGATTGAACCCAGGCCCCCTGAACTGGAGGCACAGGGTCCTAACCACTGGACCACCGGGGAATTCCCAGCAGAGATTTTTTTCTTTCTTTTCTTTCTTTTTTTAATATAAGTTTTAATTAATTGATTAATTAATTAATTTTTGGTTGCGTTGGGTCTTTGTTGCCGCGCGTGGGCTTTCTGTAGTTGCGGCAAGCAGGGGCTACTCTTCGTTGCGGTGCACGGGCTTCTCACTGCAGTGGCTTCTCTTGTTGCGGAGCACGGGCTCTATGCGTGCGGGCTTCAGTAGTTGTGGCGCGTGGGCTCAGTAGTGGTGGCTCGCGGGCTTAGTTGCTCTGCAGCATGTGGGATCTTCCCGGACCAGGGAGCAAACCCGTGTCTCCTGCATTGGCAGGCGGATTGTTTGTTTTTTTAAAACATCTTTATTGGAGTATAATTGCTTTACAATGGTGTGTTAGTTTCTGCTGTATAACAAAGTGAATCAGCTATATGCATGCGTATATCCCCATATCCCCTCCCTCTTGCGTCTCCCTCCCACCCTCCTGATCCTACCCCTCTAGGTGGTCACAAGGCACTGAGCTGATCTCCCTGTGCTATGCAGCTGCTTCCCACTTGCTAGCTATTTTACATTTGGTAGTATATATATGTCAATGCTACTCTCTTACTTCATCCCAGCTTACCCTTCCCCCTTCCCGTGTCCTCAAGTCCATTCTCTGTGTCTGCGTCTTTATTCCTGTCCTGCCCCTAGGTTCATTAGAACCATTTTTTTTTTTTTTAGATTCCATATATATGTGTTAGCATACGGTATTTGTTTTTCTCTTTCTGACTTACTTCACTCTGTATGACAGGCTCTAGGTCTATCCACCTCGCTACAAATAACTCAGTTTCGTTTCTTTTTATGGCTGAGTAATATTCCATTGTATATATGTGCCACATCTTCTTTATCTATTCGTCTGTCGATGGACACTTAGGTTGCTTCCATGTCCTGGCTATTGTAAATAGTGCTGGCAGGCAGATTCTGAACCACTGCGCCACCAGGGAAGTCCCCAGAGATTATTTCTTAAGGGAGGCCCTCCTCAACCCCCATGAGTCTCTTTCCTGCTGACATAGACTCCCACAGCCTTATGTAACTGCTCCTTCATAGCACCATACACAGTTTTAATTTCATACATATTTGTAAGTCCCCTTTCTATAACATATTTGTAAGTATCCCTTTCATCATTTTATCTCTAGTGCCTACCAGTGCTTGACATATCTTAGGGGCTCAGTAAGTGTCTGTTGAATAAATAATTGGAGACAGAGGACAAGGCTTAGGAGGGAAGATCAAGGCTTTGTTTTCTACATGTTGAGTAGAAGATGCCCTTAAGACATCCCAGTGGGGATGTGTTTTGAGCAGTTGGTGTGAGGTTGGGATGCCTTTGGAGATGATCATGGCCACTATTTTAAACCATGGGAGTGAATAAATTTGTGAGGATGTGTGAAATTAGAAGGGAAGAGGGCCCACGACTAAGGAGCAACCTCAACCTGTGAGGGGAGGAGGTGAAACCAGCAAAAGAGACTGAAAAGCAGGGG